TTGTGACGTGCAGAAAACAGACTCCACAATCTGTAAGATTGTAAAGTAGGTATGTTTATTCAGCGCTGGGCAGCACGGGGGGGTAGTCCCACCAAAGTCATGCGCACCGCAACACGGCAGCTTGTCCTGCTTATATGTAGCAAAATGTTACATATACATGAAGTTTCCCAATACGCCTATACATAGGCATAACCTGTCCCCACTTTGTATTAAAATTAGTTTCAAGAGGTCATTTCCATAAGTCCCTCCCAACTGCACAGGCTCAGTGATTTGAGTCGGTGGTCTTCAGGGGTCATTCACTTCATCCACTCCTCTTCTTCACCTGGTCCTTTTGGTGAATTCCAGCTTCCACCCCCCTTATTCCACTGTCAGAACAACTCAGCTGGTACCAACCGGCTCCCCATCCTTGGCCATCCTCATATCAACAAAGTGCCAGACGCTTTGTTCTCCTACAGGCCTTCCAAGGCCTGTAACAAAGATGGGCCATTTGCTACTAATCTCCCCTCTTCCACATTCCCTACAGTGTTAGTTTCTTATCTATAGTTTACTTCATATGATTAGTAAGTTAATCTAAAACACAATGCTAGCAATTTAAGATGGATCTACAGTTGGCTTCACAAAGGTCCTTTTGTTAACCCTTTAGCCTCCCTTCAGTTGTTTACCTGTGCTTACTGTCAATACCAGTTCAGCTGCTTCCATTGCTAACAATGAACAGTCGTTTTTGTGGCAGTAGCAACAAACCTAAAGAACTCTTTGTAAATACTTGGGTTTTTTCTGTTTTTCCCTTCAACTTATGCAGTTGGAACAAAAGTATAATTACTCTGTTGGGAAAGACTGGGGTGAAAAAAAAAGGTGTGTATCTTCCATGCAAAACTGGAGCACAAAATGAACAGCTGTCCATCAAACCTATTCTTTTTGTAGAATTTTCTGTAATTCCAGTAAACAATTGATTCAAAGCATTCTTCTGCTTTTAGGGGAGATCATTTGGGTAGTTACATCTGTTGTCCTGTTGCTGTCTAAGGTGGTTAGCTTCTCAGTTCTACTAAAACTTGCATTTTAAAATACTTGCCAGTTTAAAAACAAGAATTAAACTTTATTCACAGCTTTTTTTTTTTTAATGTGTAGTTTACATTACTGCATATGCAATTGCTTCTTCCAAAAAAACATAAAGCATAATGATAGGTCTCTGTTGCATCTGTAATGCTGTCCCAAAACACTGACTGTAAATTATCTTTCTAACAAATTGAGGTTGCTCATGACAGGTTTGGGGGCTTTGGGGGGGGGTTTTGGTGTTTTCTCAGTGTCTTGATTAATTTTTGAATGTGTAAACTCAACTTCTGGAGTAAGAACATTTTCCAGCTGACCTGGTTTGTTAATACTACAGAAGGTTTTGGCTTTCTTTTTAACAAAGCTTTAGGTACTTCACAGTTCATAATCAGAGAATATGAGACTGAAAATCTCATAGCTCTTTGGTCTCTAGCTTGTCTGCATGAGTGTATGCTGTGTTCCTCCTAAATGAGAAATAAAATAGCTTTGTCAGCTGAGGACATTTTCTGGCTTTTATAATCGGGTGTTTAAAAGAATTGTCAGAGACTTCATTCTCTTGTTAAATGGAACAATTTGTCATCTTCAAGGGATGAATCGCTTTTCTTTTTCAATGTTAATCATTCTTGCTGTATTATAAAAGTCTTTAAGTATTTTAAAGATAGCTGCTATGGTAGTGTTTAAGCAGTAAGCATCCCCTCACTATCTTATCAGTAAGACTTTGTATTAGCTAGCATTTTCTTTTGAAGTGTTATGTGTTCCGTTTGTATTAATCATGTAAAATCTAATGTTATCAGCAGAAGTTGTAGTTGGTACATCAGTATCTGTCTTGGTCTGAACCAGACTGAAAGTTTCCTCTGTTTTTTTTGTTAAAGCTTTTTTATTTATTCAAAGTTAGTGGTGTGTCTAGATAGATAGTTGCTGCTTAATTCATGTGCCTTTTTTACCTATTAGTTTGTTCAAGTGAAGGGCTTAAATATCGCTGCTTCAATGAAACATAGTTTGTTTTCCATTCCTTTTGAGAATTCTGGAAGATGAAGATGGTAATCTTTTATATTTTTCAGCACAATTTGCAACTTAGTCAATAGTTAGGCAGGAATCCATATTTGGGGGGCCTTTCTAGTTAAATGGGTTTGCAAGGACCATCCTGCATTAATTGTTTTCATATGCAATGATTTTCAAAATTTACTGTATTTCTGTTATTTACACATGCATTTTAAATGCCCTTCTACAGAAATGGGGCATGCATGTGTACAACTAAGTAATTCTAATATTAAATGGCATTCCAGACTTCAAAAGAATGTCATCTTTGTGCAGAATGAAAGAAAAAAAAAAGACATGGCAACAACTAGACTCTAGTCTGTCAAAAAACTGTTCACACAAAGTAGATTTTAAGACTATAAAAGTTCAATTTGCAAGACACATCTGTAACACTGAATATCTATCAACCTAACTTTGTCCTTTGAAAACCTTAACATATTTTGTTGTGAGAATGTAGTTTTAAACATATGACTTTCTGGAAAAGCATTGCTTTTGGAATGAAGGAATGTGATTTTAAACATAAGACTTGCTGGAAAGGAGTTGTTAGAGCTGTAGATCTGTGTTGCCATTTGACTGTCAGTTGCTGGCCATGTTGGCTACAGAGAGTATCTTCTAACAAAGCTGTACAGGCGCGGTGTTCCTGCCATCCCATCCTAAACTGTAATACGTAAACACTTGAGACGTTCTGTGCATGCTGACAGATCCATACCCTGCGTACTTTCTGCGCTTTTACCAGCTTCACTGTTGGCTTATCTCTAGCTGCCTTTTCAGTCTCTTTGACCCTGGATTGCATTTCATGATTCTTATTTTCCATGCATGTGACAACTTCTGGTCATGGGGAAAAGCATTTTTGGACTAATGTAATTTGATTTGACACAGCAATTCCTAAAGTTTCTACCTGAAACTGTCATCTGTGTTTAGATGCACTAAGCTGATATGTGGTTCCTTTTTTATTATTGTTTCTTTACAGCTTTCACAATAGAAGAGCTGGGCATTAGACAGCAGTATTTCAGGTAGTAAAAATGTACCAAGACAAGGGCCAATGGAAAAACAGCTTAAACTGTAGAACTAAAAAGTCTGCAAGTATGCTTTCTGTATAGTCATTCCATCCAAGGATAGAAGAGCCTGGATTTTTGAATCCAGCTGTAATGCTTGAGTTATAGAACTCTGAAACAATTGCATATTTAAAGAATTGTTTTTCACACTTATACTTTGTAACAAAATATTCTTGCTTTCCCTTAATGCTGGCAAGTCTCCTCAAAATTATTATTTTGGGATGTTTTGAAGTACTTTTTTTCATTATTATTATTACTCCTTCTACATAATTTCTCTTTTGCAGCAGTACAGATTGACAGAATCCTCAGTGGAAAGTAGCACAAGATAAGGAAGAAAAATTATTTGCTACTACCCTCAAACAGGAATAGCTGAGTGAGGCTTGTAGAAAGATAGTAAATCCCCCAAATCCATCTGTTTAGCAGAGGACTGAAGATAAATGCCACATTCTCCATCTTTCTGAAGTCAACAGGAACGTGATGGGAGTCACCTACGTGTTTGGTGAAATTGCTCTATGGAGCACGTTCATAATCTTGGGTCATACGCCTTTTCTCTGCTAGGACATCAGAAAAAGAAATGGATTAGGTCTTTGACTGTTACCAAGCTTCTGTATTTTCTATTTCTTCTCTCTTCTTGCTTGCAAGCTCTCTCTTGAGTTCCCTTTCTCTGAAAAAGGTATTTCATTTACCTCTACCATATTTCCAGTAGAGTACTGGCAAGGTGTAGGATCTTTTTCATTTCGTTTGATAAACAGAGGGTAGCTTTGACTTTCCTTCCATGCATATCAAGGTAAACAAAGAAATTAGAAGTTCATTTATGAAGGACCAGATATAAGTGACTTTCTTACAGCTTTCTTCTAGCTTTTGGATTATCAGTGTAAAAGCAGTGTAAAATCTTTTAGTCTGTGTTCATATGCAGAGTTTTTCTTTTTGATAAAGCAGATGGGGCATTAGTGAGAACAGAGAGTAGTTGTGAAGCGTATTTTAATTTACGCTGACATAAGCTGCTTTTAGGAAAATTCTTAAATATCAGTAGAGAAATACTTACATGTAGCTTCTTTCCATGTCCTCTGCCATTCACACTAATAGGCTGTGGGATCTTCACCTATGTTTTCTCTCGTTTGCATCTCTTTCTGAAGGTTGAATGCTGACTCAAGGAGAATACAACCTCAGCAGGATAGCTCATGAATATAATTTGGTTTTAATGATGGTTTCACCAGTTCCAGACCTGTCAGAACAGATTAGCATGTTCTTAGGAGTATCAAACCCCATGCTAACTTTTCAGAAGCAAAGGCCAAACAATTATTTAATGAAATGTGTAAATGTTTTGATAGATTTGCTGTTATTAATTAGCATAAGCAGACAACCTGGTTAGAATGGGGTTATGTACGTTCCATTCATACTGGCTTATTTAGGAATATACTTCTTTAAAGTTATATATCTATCAAGGAATACCTGTAAATATAAGAATACTTATATGCCTTGCCCAAGTAATTCTCTGTTACAATAGTATAAAATATCTATCCCTTTAATTTCATAAGACAGCACTTCTTTCATAATAGTTGTTTACAGCTGTTAATGTTATAATAAAGTGCAAACACCTTCAAATGTGACTGTATTGTGTATGTGAGTATATATATGTATCTTAAGTCAAACATAGACTAAATAATGTGAATAGAATGTTGCTAGAGCTGTTAGAGAAACTGTGTTGAAGTTATTGGGGCTTAATTTGAATTTTCAAGGAGAAGATCAAAGAAAGCTGAAACATATTCTTAATGATTATTTAAGAGCAGTCCAACCATTACAAAAGGTTGTTATAGAATATCCTGTTAGTGGATACACTGACTCTCCACTCTTTGGCAGGTGGATGACATCTTAGGAGAAGGCAGTGATGAAAGTGACAGTGAAAAAAAAAAGACAGAAGAGGAAGGTGAAAAACCTCAGATTAGTGCAGCAGACACTCTAGGAATCAAACCAGATCAGAGACCTGGATCATCGTCGTCGTCATCATCATCAAGTGAACGAAGCTTAACAGGCAGTGTACCCAGGTATGAGTTTTTCAAACGTAAAAAGAAGCGTTAATGATGTTTGATTATGTTTGTGCACTATTCAGTGTGCTTTTTGGCAACGCAGTCTTTATGTTGTTGTTAACTTCTGTGTGTACATAACACTTTTGGTAACTCTGAAATTGTCATGCTTACCACTGCAATGTTTTGGGATTGATTTAAGGAGATGGTCTGTTGAGAACCCAGGTATTGCCTGCTTTGGGAGAAATTAAGACCACTGAACTGCATTTATTTTAAAGTAGTCTTGATCCTGAATGAGATATAGGACAATGTCCTACAGTGTTACTTTAAGTAAAATAAAGCATGGTTTTGGAAAGCTATGGTTTTTTTCATCCTGAATTTTTGAGATACTTTTATATGGGAAATTAATAAAAATAAAGTTGTTGAGATAGTTTTCTGCTTTAGTCTCTCAGAAAGAAATTTAAACTTGCTAGTCTCTTCTGCAAAAATTATTCTAGTGTCCCACCATTGACTGTTGAATGATGACTATAAACCAATTTGCTAGTGCATATTTTAAATACGTTAAGGAATGTTTTTCAATCTGCAGCCCCTTAATAGTTTTTAAGCCTAACAATAGATAGAAAACTGTATAAGATGAAGATTATAGCAGTTTTAATTTAGAATTGCTGGGATCATCGTCCTGCACCACAAAGTGCTAGAAGTGCAAATATGCCTCAGATGTGTGTTGTAGTTTTTCTGCTCTCAGAACCAGACTGTTCTCACGCATAAGAATTTAAGCTCTAACAGTTTTTCATTAATGGAGGATAATGTAATTAGTAGGACTTAAGCAACTTATTTACATTATTTTAACTTTTGTGAGCTTTGTCTAGCACACAAAGAATGTATGAGAGAAACTGTGAAAAACACCAGAGAATGTGTTTATATTCATGACGAGATTTTGACTGGGGTAGCAAGGTTGCTGTGTGTCAGGAGTTTATTGGAGAAAGAGCTATGTGAGAAACTTGCACAAGCCTTTTAGTTTATCCTGGGTATGTCTAATCACTGATCATCTTCAGAAATATGGCAGATTAAAGGTATAAGAATTTAATCTGTCTCACATAGCTAGAAGAAAAGTTCCCTCCTAAATTAAGTTTGGAAGAAGAAAGTCAAGCCAGTGATGAATATTTTTAGAATACCATTTGAAGCAGCAAGGCATGGTGGTGGCATGTCACTGTTGATTCATCCTAATACTGTGGTGTTTTGTTGTGTAGAAAATGCACCAAATTCTGAAAAACAAAAGGTAAAAAGGATCGTATTAAGGAATATCACTTAGGGTTATTGCTAAATACTATTCCCCATGTATGGTTTACAAAGATAGAGCAAGTACATTTGTAATTAACTTTTGCTCTATCTAGGAAAGTTTGTAAGTAAGCTTGGCAATACTTCTGCACTCAGAAGCTGTGTAAAGTCTTTGAGAGGGCTTCTTAAGTAACTTTTCTATTTTTGACCTGTCTACCTCTTAAGAGTTGCCCTGTCAGTTTGTTAAATTGCATCCAGGGTTGAACCTGAATGGAGTGCTGGGAGACATACTCGCAAAGTGCTGGTTCAGATGCTGACCCAGTGTCTGCTAGGCAGGAAATTCTGCTTGAAAGAAAGGAGCCTCCGCCCGTCATCCTAATTCCATTTTAAGTTTGAAGTTTTAAATTGACGCTTTCGTGGTCAGTCAGTGTTGTATGTGTTCAAGAGCTACTGTACCAGAGGGGTAATGTAAGAACAGTTGTTAAACAGCCGGATTAAAATCTCCAGGACTCCAACACAAATACTACCTGCAGTTTCAGGGGGCCACATTTCTAAAAGTGAAGTGCTATACAAGCATATGCATCCCAACAAGAATTGAAGTTCCTTTTCTGAAAATTGGAGTCTTTGGGTTGTTAGGAGCATAATGAGGCTGAAATAGTATTTCATAATTGTAAATTATTTCTTCTCTGTCATATAACCTGATGTTGCAAATTATTTGTTACCATGAAGACCATCACTTCTTGCCACATTAAGAAAATAGAGGCTTTGTATTCTAAAGACCAGTCCCAGCTATTCATTATGTAAACCCCCCCCGGACCAGCTGGTTAAGTTATTATTTCACAAGTTGTTATGATCACCCTGATGTCCATATTTTAGTATTAATGTTTCCAGAAAACAAAATATGAACAAAATATGAAAGGCAATCCAAATACAATCCCATACTCTCATGTTCTGGCTCAGCCCATTCCTGGCAGAGATGAGGACTGCAGAGAGTTTAGGTTCCTGGTAAGCAATGCTCCTCTGCTCCATTACACCATTCCAGTAGTTACTGACTCTGGACCCGTAGCACTTGTAAGGTAGAAATGTAGCACTTCTGTTAAATGTTAATCTTCAGTCTTGAAATCTGTAGAATACCTTGATCATTTCTCTGATTGGTGCCACTTCTAAAATTCTCATGGATGGAGAAAAAAAATAATCTCTGAGAAATCTTAAGAGCTACTTTTTGAGAGGGGAAGGGGAAACGCAGCATCTTTCCTATGTCTATTTACTTTTATGACTTTTGGTAGGTGCCATGCAGTTAGGTTGCAATTTGACAGCCTAGAGTTGTTTAAAAATCCTAGATTCTTATGCAGCTTAATAAAATGCTTGGCTTTATCTCACGTCATGTTAAAAGGGTACTGCATAGACCAAACAATGAATGTGAGTTTCATACTGTATGAAAAGATTAAATAGAAAAGAGTAAGTTAAAAAACCAGTTGTTTATACTATTCACATTTGATCAGCCTCTTGTGGTTATGACCTGCATAACAATAAAATATATTTGCAGCTCACTTTTGTTTAGCAAATCTAAAGGAGGTAAACAAGTTTTTATTCTCAAATAGTCTTCATCTTCGTGTAGATAATCTTTCTCTAAGCTGCTTCTTACCTAATTTTTTAAAATAAAGGAATTGCTGTTTAGAGCTCTGATCCAGCTTTTGTTGAAGCAAAAAGGAGCCTGACTTCATCAGGAGCTGGACTTGAGCCCCCTCACAGTTCTACTAAAATTTTCTACTTAGAATGAAATTCCACTTAATGTTAGTTGAAACATGTCACACATGAAACTTATGGCTGGAAGTGATGAATGGGGAGTTATAAATCACAAAAGTGTACAGGTCTATTTTAATAAGCATTACTAATGATTAGTGATACATAATATGAAAAAGCTTTTGAGACTAGTACAAATAGAATTTGTTCGTAAGAGAAAACTGAATGTTTAGCTACTGTAGCACAGTATATACCTAGCAACAAGAGGTGTCTAATTAGTTGAGATATTTCGAGCTGTTGTCAGTGCACCGTTTGCTTTATTTTTTAAGTGCATTTTGATTTCACTGTGCTGCCTCCTCTTAACACTTGAGTGGTAGTGAACACGTTTGCAGTTCTTGTAGTGGAGGCCCCATCCCTGGAAACATTCAAGACCAGGTTGGATGGGGCTCTGAGCAACCTGATCTAGTTAGCGGTGTCCCTGCTCACTGCAGGGGGGTTGGACTAGATGACCTCTAGGGGTCCCTTCTGACCCAAAACATTCTATGATTCTATTTCCCCTTATCTGAAATTTGCTTATTGTGGAGTAGTTGCCAAAATAATATGTACTGAACAAATATGTTCCATGTTAGTATGCTTTAATACTGGTCTTTGTAGGAAGAGGAAAAAAATCACGTGAAAGGCTGTGGCAGTCTCAAAAGAATATATTTGGTAGAAGGACGGACAGACACATGTGACGAATAATGCCATTGAGAAAATTAGCCAAGCAATATGTCAAAGGTTAGGGTTTAGCCTCTTTCAGTCTGTAGATCCTGGAAATTGCCAGTGGAGATGCAAAGCCCTGTACAGCAAGTATTAGTGTGCTATGAGTCTATTGACTTGCCTATTTTCTGATGCAGAGGAGGCCTTGAAAATAGTTAATTAAATGCTTCAGTTGTATTACTGAAGCTAGGAAATTGGATGGACTTCATCTAGTAAATTGAAATGTTAAAGGAACTGGGGCAACAAACAGGAATTCGAGATGTACTCTCTATCACAGTCTTCCAGTGGCATGCCATATATCTGTGGCATGTGATCTTCTATAACTAAAATTTCTCTTAAGATATTGGAAGTATTTAGTCATGAGTGGAAGTTAGCAGAAAAAAAATAAATCACATAATATTAATTTAGATTCAGAGTACTTACTTCATGTGAGGTGCTGAACTGACAATCCAGGTGACCCCTTCCATTTCTGCATTCATATGTTCTAGTGCAGTGTTTGCAGTCCAGTTCTAATTCTTGAAGGAAAGGACACGATGGGAACCTTCAGATTTTTGAAGGATAGCTCATGCTGCAAACACCCTACTATGCAGTATCTCTTTACATGCTTTGCTTGTGCCTAAGGTATTACAGTCCAAGTAAAGAGTATTTTAAACAATGGAAAATGAGCCCAGCGGTGGCACTGGAGTTAAAAATAATGCAGTTCACTGTGCTGTATGCAGCTCATGTGCTGTAATATGAGTTTTCATAGAATCAATGTTGTAATTTTTAATAACTTTTAAGTAGGAAACTGAACTGTTGTAGCAGTATTCTATTTGCTGTTAATAGTCACTGTGATATGGAGAGTCTTCCTCAGAGGTCTCCAGTTTCTGATAAACTTAAGGGTTTGTTATACTGCAGGAAGTTGCAGAGAAGTAAAGGAGTGGTGGCCGCTCCTTCGTGGGAAAGACTATTTTGGGTGTCGGGACTCCTGAAAGCTTCCAGGTCTCGCATGAGGCCTTCCAGAAGCACAGGGGGTGGAAGCAGTTTGCTGGGTTTGTATCACTCTGCTGACAAAGCACAGTTCGCAGCACCTCCATGGGCTTTTGCAGCTTGGTGTTTGGTAAAGGGCAGCCCTCTGGTGTAGGGAGGTGGGTTGTTTTTTTGTTCTAGTTTTTGCACAGGTTGGCCACCAACATGAG